GAGAATTATCCAATTGAGAATTTTTCTCTTATTAAATTAAAATTGCATATATTTCGCATAAAATACTATAGGATAGATAACTATAAGCAGCGTTGCGAAATTCACTGCCAGCGTTAGAAATTTATAGTTTATGTTGCCGTGTGCCGTAGATTTTCAGTGTCAGCAGTGAACATCGGAGCGCAGTACGCATACTTGTCTAGCGATTCGAATGAGAAGGTTTCCCGGATTATGAATGATAAGATAAACGTTTAACGCGAGGGACAAGAGAGAGAGAGAGAGAGATCGATGAAATATACCACTTTAATTACAGCTGACGCAGCAGCAGTTAGTGAGGGTGGTCACAGCTCAGGGTATGCAACTGCAGGGGCTTGCGCCCACATTTTTCGCCGTGCCTAACGGATTTCCCCCAGCTGCCTCCCCGGTGATCAGACACACCCCGTCTAGTCCAGCGCCATGTAAGTCTACGAAAGAAAAGTCGTTACGTGCCACAGTGGTCGCATATGATGTTGATGCAGGCGCAATTGGAAGTTCGACCGGCATTTTGCACCTTCTCTTTTTTTCATATGCCCCGCAGCCAATTCAGGTACGGGCAGTTCCATCGTGATCCAGAATGCGATGGTGCCGAGCCCCCAGCCGCAGATCTCGCAGGTCACGTCCGCCGGCAACGCCACGGGCAACGCCTCGTGCACGCAAACCGTCGTGGACCAGAGCCTGTTGCCGCCCCCGAAGAAGAAGGCGAAGAAGAAGAAGAAGGCTAAGCGGAAAGACGACGAGCCGCCCAAGTTGGATCTTGCCAGTATTATGAAGATATCCGGTATCGGGGACGACGATGATATTTTTGATACTGACCTGACGGCCGAAGCGGAGGTACCTTGTCAAACCCCGCAGAGCGAGTCGAACGCCGTGATATCCCTGGGCCAGCTGCCGTCCCAAGGGACGGTCCCCGCTAGCTCCACTCAGAGTCTAACCCAAGTACCTGCATCGAATACAACGAACACCACGCAAGCAGCCTCCGTGTCGCAGGCGTTCAACAGTCAGCTGGTCGCCCAGCTGCAAATGCCCGTGCAGAACACGATCTCGGGGCACCTGCGACTGTCGGTCGGCGAGGACGGCAAGGTGGTGCTGCATCACACCCCGGAGCCGAATCAACCCGAGATGGACCAGGCGACCGCGCAGGCCCTCATACGATCTCTCACCCAGGGCGGCGGGCAGAACTCGCAGATCATCTCGCAGCTCTTCGGGCAGACGTCCACCACCGCGCCGCCGCAGTCCACGCAGAGCGCCGGCCCGCAGCGGCAGAAGTACGCCAAGTCGTCCACCAACACCGTCAGCTCCACGTGCTCGCAGAACGTCACTTGCGCCACTAGTCCGCATCACGGCCAGATATGCTCGAAGCCGATCAATCAGCAGCAGCAGAAGAGCACGGGTGTTCCGCAGGAGACGGCCAACTCGTTACCGGGCATCTGCGTGCAGAACAATCTCGGTTCCCTGGAGATCCAGACGTCGAAGGGCAATGTGCCGAGCCTGATGCAGGGCAAGAACATCCAGTCGTTGAACGCCTCGATGACCGTCTCGGACGTGATGTCGTCCGTGAAGCCGTCGCCCGGCGCCGCCACGTTCGCCATTCAAGGCCCCCGGATGGCCAGTGTGAGCCAAGCGAGCTCCAATCAGGCCAATTCCAACGTCTCTCTGCAGAAGTCTAGTCAGGTGCGACTCACGAACGCTTGCATCACCACGAACGTGCGGCAGACACCGCTGGGCAACAAGCAGTCGCAGCAGCACGCTCACGTGCAGAAGACGCTGCCCTCCGTGGTCAGCTCGACGACGATGCAGACCGATCACATGTCGAAGGTAAATCAGAATCTCCAGCAGACGGGCCAGCAGGAGAGCATGACCGCGCTGCAGCAGGACTCGCCGATGTTCGCCCAGCACAATCAGCAGCAGATCACCGCGCAGACCGTGCAGACACAGAACGTGCAGCAGATCTTCGAGCAGAACCTGCAGAGCTCCGGCTCGAACATCCATCACAATTCCATGAACATGCTGCAGCAGCAGCAGACCTCCTGCAACACCCTGCAGCACGACACCATGAACGTGCTGCAGCACTCGAGCATCCAGCAGAACACGATCAACGTGCTGCAGCAGAACACGGCCGGCGGCGGCGTGTCGGGCATCGAGCCGAGCCTGCAGTCGGGCATCGGCGACATGGTCGGCCACGCGCCGCAGAACGTCATGACCAGCCTGCAGCAACAACAGCAGAACACGTCGGCCGTTCTGCACAACGCGCAGCAGCAGAAGGTAGTGTCGGCCAACACCTTCTCCTCCGTGAACGCGCATCACTTCGAGTCGCAGAACAACTCGCAGGCTGCCAACATGGTGCAGCAGGGTACCAACACGCCGCCGAATCAGAACATACTGATCACGACCGGGCCGACGTCCAACAGCGCGAGCCAGCAGCCGAACGAATCTCAGAAGGCGGAGACGGCAGGCGGCGCGAGCATGCTGAACTCGGCGGCGAATAATATACTGAACAACGCGCCCAAGATCTCGCCGGAGATTCTCAACGCGCTCAGCAACCTGAACCCCAACGATCAGCTGCTGATCGCAAACGCGAACGGGCAGATGCAGGTGATCAGCCAGCAGCTGCTGCAGCAGTTCTTGGCCGGCCAGCTGAATCAGTCGAGCCAGACGCCGAGTCAGAATCAGACGCAGAAGATCGTGATCGGCGAGCCGGACGCGAGCAACCAGAATCTGCAGGGCGTCCAGATCAACACCCCGACCAGCCAGATTATCGTCAACAGTTCCGGCGGCGCCCCGACGATCCAGAACAACATCCAGAACATCGTGGTGCAGGCCGCGCCGTCGCAGATGCCGCATCACATACAGATACAAAATTCTAGCTTCCCTAGTCAATTCATTGACAACCTGAATCAGCAACAAATTAGGAACTTAGGTAACAGTAATCAACCAAAGAAAACGAAGGTCGTGAAGAGGAAGGTCGCCACCAGCACTCAGAGCGTCGCGTCCCAAGTACGTATGCGACCCCGTCTTTCTCTCGTCTCTCTGTCCATCCTTTCTGTGCGATTCGAAGTGGGTTATCGTTAGTGACCGATCGAAACCGCTCTTTCCAGTTTCGGCCGAAACTGAAAATGAATATTCCGTTCTTTTTCAATCTTGGCCAAAGGCCGAAATCGAAATTATCTTCAGTTTTGCAGAAGAAAGGATGAAAAATGAACTTCACGATGAAAACATATATTTATAATGATACTTTATTTAATTACGCGTGTGATATTTCACGAAATTTTGTTAAACATAACGTTGAAGATTTTGGTTGCTTCAATAATAGGTACGAAAAACGAGAGCTATAAAATATATAATAGTCTTTATAAACATATCAAAAAGAGACTTTTTGAAAACTTATGATTATACAAGTTTCTACATATTTATGATTACATTCGTACTTTAGTTATATCGAAAAGTATTAATAATCATAATTAAATGATAATTTTTGGTTAGATATATTTGTATGAAATGAAACACGTCTTACGGTGGAGAAGGGAAAGTTTTTGTGATTCGCGGCAATCACCGTACCGGCTCTGACCGATGCGTTGCGACTAGATTAGTTCCGCTTTACGTCGAAACTTTTTTTTCAATTTCGGTCGAAGCTGAACTGAAACCCATATTTTTGATCGAACCGTAATCAAAACCGAAATCTCAGTTACACACTAATTATTACAAATATTATCTCGATTGCTGGAATCTCTGAGAAATTCTGTCACCCTTTGCGGACATGAGATCTTATCTAAAGCACGTGTCGCGTGATTTTTTGTCGTGCGAGATCCCACGATTGAATGATTTCTGAATATTCATGCGTCATAACTGCACTTTACTATTGTGATATCGCAATAGTCGTTGCTTCTACACTTCCTGTAGATATAAACGTAAATTGTCATCATCTTCATCTTATCGTTAGTAAAAATCAAATCCGGGTTGAGTCAATTGGGGGAATAAAGGATACGCTTGACATTTCAAGATTCTCCACGTGCACGCGGAGGATAGTTTCACGGGAGCAGTAATAACAGCGTTACATGTAAACTTTCGGGCCTGGTGTAATGTATAAATAAAAGTATGAAGAATCATCCGTCAGAAGGACATCTTCATCAAGTCAATGACGCGGTCAGCAGAAAAATTCAAAGTTTCAAAACGCGAGTTTTTCGAGCCGTTCGAATATATGCGGCTCCTTGATCAATGATCTTCTTCGCGTTGAGCAAGCAATATGCACGCGCTCCGATACGTCATGTTCGCAAAGGGTCGTAATGCAACACGCCTTTGAACGTTTCTCCGCCACGATCTCGCAACTGTACCTTCACCTTACAGGCGTCGAAGACGGTCACGGTTACCCGGCCAACGATGGGCACCAGTGCGTCCAATCTTCAGAAGATCGACCATCTGAACAAGCCTAACATCGCGGTGTCGTCGCAGAGTAGTACAAATCCTGTGAAGAGCGAGTCAGCTCAGATCATTTCCAATGGTCCCCTGGTCACATCAGCCGCCGGTGGTCACGTGTCGGTGCCTTCGAACGGACAAATGGTACAAAGAGTGCAGACTATTCAGCTGCCCGCTCAGAAGCAGCAGATGCTGAAGAACATTCAGCTGCAGATCCAAGCCCTGCAGTCGCGCAAGTCCAGCGGCGGTCAGTGCGATCCGGCGGTGCTGTCGAAGCTGTACGAGGAGCAGACCAAGATAATAGCCAGCGGGAAGGTCCTCAGCACCACCACGCATTCTGTCAACAGAGTGAGTATCCGTCGACGGTGGTTTACGACGGCACGTCTTTCTTTCTCTCTCTTTCTCTTACTGATGTCTCAGTTTAAACACAATCAAACACACGGAGAATGCGAGAATAATGACTTGCAACGCAAGCTGCTGCAATGACAAAATATATACGAACTCTTAACTCAGCGAACTTGTCTATTCTAAAGAGGCATTCGTTTGTTCCGTGCGCAGGCTTCTGAGACGAGTTTCAATGTAAACGCGGCCTCGACCGTCGCGTCGGGCGTGCACCTGCAAAATTCATTTAAGAACCAAACGTCGGCAGTGCAAACTCAGACTCAGACTACCGCTGCTGCTATACCGGTCACGTCTCAGAGTCTGAATCCCGCTGCGGTGTCGGTACCGAGTAACTTGAATCACAGTTACACTAACAATAACATCACGGTAAGCGGGCGACATTTCTCTCTCTCTCTCTTTTTTTCTTGCAACGAGATTACTCCACCTTTCTGTTTTATATTAGGTGTACAAATTAATTCGGTGCCCTTTCTCGTGATATTCAAGGTTTACTCGCAAAAAGTCAAATACAAGTTTAATAAGTTCGCCATCATTTCCATTGTTTTCTATGACTTCATCCCATCAATCAGGGCAGCTGACGAGTGCCCTCGCGGGAAAAAAAAACTTGGCGGCTTTTGACTCAATAAAGTCATCGGTGCTCTTTCGGGCCTCGTCGGATGTTTTAAAATGCCGTATCCGCCAGATGATGTTGAAACGACCGAAATAGGTGGTAATCCGACGAGGCTAGATCTGGCGAATGAGCCGTGTGAGGGAGAATTTCCCAGCCTGATGAGATCCTTTGTCCCTTTTGCAGTGTAAGACCGCGCGTTATCGCGGCGGCAAAATCACCTGCCTGGTTTCATCGCCGGTAAAAGGTGTTTTTACAAGTTTTACGGGTCACAGCACCTTCACCCAAAGCGGAACAAATCATAGACCGAGTAGCATTTTATTCAAGGAGTGCAAAAAGGATACCTCAGATGCTTCTTTCCGAATAACATCGTGCTATTTTTTTCTGAGGTTTATATCGACAAGCCCGCCGACTGTTATAGTGCTTCTTAAAGCCCAAGGCTGGCACTTTCAAATCGCCGTACAGGACGGGAAAGAAATGAAAATCTGAGCTCGAGCCATAGGACATTAGATGGAAAGGCACCGAATTAATTTGTACGCCTAATATATATATTTTTGTACACCGCGGCTATCGTTAAGTGCCGACTAATCGCGCGACGTCTCATAGTCGCGTGCATTACAGGTGCCGCCGAGCGCGGCAGGGCAGCCGGCCATGATGAACACGGCGACGCAGAGCATACACCAGACGCACACTAAGCAGCAGCATCAGCAGCAGCAGCAACAGCCGCACAAGTTCTACCAGAACCACGGAAATCAAATATTGAATCCGTCCTCCGCGACAAACATGCAGATATTCTCGCCGCCGATCTCCGCGACAGCGGCCCCGCAGCTACAGAGCAACGCACAGCAGCAGCAACAGTTGGCGTCGTCGGTGCAGACGCAGCAGCCGACGGGCCTGCAGCAACAGTCCACGCAGTGCCAGACCGACCCGTTGGACATCAAAGCCAGCATGCAGGCTACACCTAGTCCCGCGAAACAGGAGCTCCCGTCGCCCATTCAGGTCCAGGTGCAGACCAGCTCGCCCGCGAGTCAGGTAACCTCGCCCAGAATGATGAGCAAGGGGACGCAGCAGAGGATCCAGAGCCCGGTGAACACCGGCGGGAACGCGACGAAGCAGCTCGTCAGTCCCAGCAGCAGCCCCCTGATAAGCCCGAGGCAGGGCGTAAAGCGACCGGCGACTAGTCCGATTTGCAATAGGCAATTGAATCGCGGCGACTTGTACGTACCCTCCAGATCACCTTAGTGTATTATCGTCTACAATGAGCTTACAATGAGTCCGAGTTGCGTGATGTGTCGAATCGTCGAACTGTGGGGACTTGCCGCTCGACATCCGTTGCTTAATTCGTCCTCGTTGTCTTTGCCCTGCAGGATGGATCAGCAGCTGAAGATGGATCAAAATGGCGCGACGAATCCCGACATGAACACACCGTTCTTAAGTAAGGGCGACGCCTGCAAGCGTTTGGTAAGGTATCATTGTATGAACGAGCAGGTACTCAGCCGCAAGGACCTGGATTACGCGGACGAGATATTCGAGGAGACCGCCAAGCACTTGCTGAGCAAATTCAACGCCATGATGAATAAATACACGTATCTCCTGCTGATGGAAAGCACGGTACAAATATGATGATAATAACAATTGCCAGTTAATTTAGCGAAGACGCACAATTTCTCGCGTGTTCAATTCTCTTGGGAATTTCTCCGTATAATTTGCTCACACACGAGACATTTTCAACGAATATTCATATATAAATTACATTATATATAAATTTTATTGACAAAAAATATTTATATATATAAATGAATACATAAATTATATATAAATTCGAATACATTCATGATATTCATATATAAATTGATTAATATTATTAACTTTATTACTGTTCTGTTCTTTGTATGTTATAAATTTATTTTATTAATAAATCAAGTTCTCTCTGTTTCTCATATATATATATATATAATTAATTAACAGTATCGCTAAAGTCTTGGAAATTAAATTACAGCGTGAGGTGAAGACATCGGAACTAATGATGATCGACAGGACATTCGTAGCGGAAGAGCAAAATATCCTCAACAGGTTACGAGAGCAAGAAGCGAAAGTTAATGGTAATTGCACGCGCGCACGCACGCACGCACGCACACGCACACACACACACACACACACACACACACACACACACACACACACACACACAATTGTTTTGAAAGCAATAAAATTGCAGGAATATATATTAAATATAGTGTATACATATACATAGAATTTACAAGTACCACATGAGAGAATGTAGCATTTTGAATATCTCGTGTCTCGGCATTGCAGAAGAGTTTAAGAAGGAAGAGAAGCCGTTGGTGCCAAAAGTCGAGCCCGGCCTCATGGAGGAGGACCGATTAGCGACGTCACCGCCTTTGGTGAGCGTCTCTGTGAAGCGCGAGCTGGAGGACGACTTCCCGAGCGACGAGATGGAATGCAAGCCGTCGATCAAGACGTCGAGCAGCACCAGCGGCGATTACGACGAGTGGCTGGAGATCCAGAAGGAACTGGGCGTGTACCCGTCCACCGCGGACACGTTGAAGTGTAAAAACGGTAATAACAGCGGTGCCGGTAATAACAGTGGTGCGGTGGTGGCCGGCGCGAAGTCGTCCAAGATCGAGAGAACACGAGCGAACGGCGAGTGCCGCGGCAGTGTCGCTAACGCGAGTGTCGTGACCGGGGCCGCCTCGAACGCGGTGATGAAGGACAGCTGCGAGCAGCCGGAGTCCGCTCCGAGCTTCGAGAAGCGTTGGAGCAGCGCGACCGATCTCGAGCGGGACCTCTTGGAGGACACCGACAGCTTGGACGGGCTGGCTCTGCATTCGCAGACGCAGTGTCCGGGCACCGTTCACGCGAGCAACGACAGCAGCGGGAACGCCGGCAACGAGCACGACGACATCACCGCGCAAGTGCAGTCCGCTATCGACAGCATCCTTAATCTTAAGAAACGTCCCGCGAACACGCTGTCCGGCGGCGGCGGCAACAGTAGCAGCGGCGCCGGCGCCGGCGGCAACGCGTCGCAGCCCGGTGACTCGAAGGACACTGCACTGGACCAGGCGGTTCGCAGCATCTTAGGCTCGTGACCCTCCTTTAGTAAAGTATGTTAAGCAGTGAGAGAGAGAGAGAGAGAGAGAGGGAGAGAGAGAGTTAGTAGTTAGTATCATCACAGTGACTGTGCGTACCCGGTGCGTTTTATCGAAGACGTTCTTTTCCCTTCAGAAGGAAACCGAAGTCGAATTGTTTCTTTCTGTGGTCTTTTTTTCTTTTTTTTATTCTATGTGAATATCGCGGACCCGCGTCACGGGGTATGAACTGTGTGTGTCTTTTATTTTCGTATCGATGATGCGGTCAAGTCTTCGGCGATACATATCTCAAAGAGCACACAGCATTGTTACTAAATTATTTATGTAGATTATGCGCGATCATATGATTTTATTTATATATACATGTACACACACACACACACACACACACACACACACACACACACACACANTATATATATATATATATATATATATATATATATATATATATATATATATATATATATATATATATATATATATATCTGTGTGTGTGTGTATATATTATTGAGCGCGAGAGCAAACTTTTCGTGGATCGTGTGAATACGCGTGCGTGATGTACAACTGATATGTACATGCATACATGTGTTGGCATGTACATGTATGTACATAAATGTGTGTACGGGTCGCATTCGAGCCGTTTTGGTAGAACATCTCGATTTATCAAAGATTCTGTTTTGCAATGGCAATAATTATGCATAACGTAAAAAAAAGGAAGAAACATATACTTTCCCGGTAGTCTCTAGCTGTAATTAAAAGCCACCGCGTAAATCTAATTCTAGCAGCTGTACATGTGGATAGTTAGTTAGGTAGATAGATAACTCGCTCAGATTTTTCAATATGCCCACTTTGTAATGTAATTTTGTAAAAAGTAATTATTTAAAGCAACTTATTCCACTTCTCATCTATAGTACTCGTAGCAGAATCTTATTGATACTTAAAACATGGGTAGGTAAATTGTACATACGTTTTTAAGGTGTATTATTATATAATAATATTATGACTACATATTATTTGTATTATTGTTATTGAGATTTATTCTCGGAATTATTATTATTATATTATTATTATTATTATTATTATTATTATTATTATTATTATTACTATTGCTATAATTGATAAAACATCATCATTGACGACTGTGCGATCGAATGCGAGAGGTATAAAGAGAAGAAAGTAGTAGCGTAAGAGACTGAAATGTAAAATCGTGGAAATGCGGAATGCAAAGCGTTGGTGGGTACATAAGGAGAGGAGCGGTAACGGTATAGATTACCTTTTATGCAGATTTTTCCTTTGGATTTTTCATTTCTATTTATGGTATATGCAGTCTCAGTGTTAAGACGCAAAATCAAAGAAACGAGCCGTTTCTATATAGGTATATATAGTGTTTTACAACTTTTGTTTCGGCATCACACACACACACACACACACACACACACACACACACACACACACACACACACACACACACACACACACACACACACACACACACACACACACACACACACACACACACACACACACACACACACACACACACACACACACACACACACACACACACACACACACACACACACACACACACACACACACACACACACACACACACACACACACACACACACACACACACACACACACACACACACACACACACACACACACACACACACACACACACACACACACACACACACACACACACACACACACACACACACACACACACACACACACACACACACACACACACACACACACACACACACACACACACACACACACACACACACACACACACACACACACACACACACACACACACACACACACACACACACACACACACACACACACACACACACACACACACACACACACACACACACACACACACACACACACACACACACACACACACACACACACACACACACACACACACACACACACACACACACACACACACACACACACACACACACACACATACACACACAACGAATGAACGAACGAACGAACGAACGAACGAACAAATAACAAACAAACTTGAATAGATGCGGGTAATCAATGAAATGCGTGCTGGAGAGAGAGAGAGAGAAAGAGAGAGAGAGAGAATACGTGTGTGGGAAAAGGATAATCACATAATAATCGTTGGAGCCATCATAGACATGGAGCGAATTTGTTATTGTAAAATTAATCACGATACGGATACACATTCCTCCGATGTATGTAGATATTTCGCTCTTGATTTTACTCTAGACATGCATGAGAGAGTGGTTTGCAGATATTTTAAAGTAAAGTCGAGTAAGGAGGCAACGCTTTGTGAGAATTGGGCAATGCGTTGATTACACTTTTGCAGATAAAGCTTTATTATGTGAGCTCGATCGCGTATTCTTTTTCTACATATTCATAGAGGGACTCTCTATAAACACATACACATACATATACGTAGTACAAACGCCACATGAGATACACACACACACACACACACACACACAGCAGAAATAGTGTTTTCTGGCAAAAGCAATTCAAGACTGACGTATATACAGAGAGAAAAACAAGCAAAACTATGTAATCTATTACAATAAGGACTATTAATAATCGTTTGTACATAACGTTCAATTACACTCTCGACGGCAATCGTGACTTAATTCTTCACAGATTTAAAAGAGTTTGGATATGCTAAAGTTCTTTTGATCCTAATAAATTGCCGATATTTCACGAGTACATGGTATACATGATAGATTATATCCTACACATCCCCGTCTGTACTGCTTTCGAACGAAGGTGTTTTCGCAAGTCATAATTATTACACGAGCCAACAACGAGTTATGTAACGACACAACGGCTGACGAGAGTGGCGACAGATGCGGTATATATATATAGATATATAAATATACATATATATATGTATATATATATATACACACACAGGGTGTCCCACCACTACTGTGACATCCGTTAACGCCAGATTACTGAGAACATTTCGAGACAAGAGAAAATCCTTGGCATATACAAAAATCAGTCAAGGCTGTAATGGTTTCAGAATGAAAAGCGTTGAAGGAAAAAAAAAGGTAAATTAAATCAGACTGTCAAAAGGTCGCGCGCTCAGACACATACGGCCCGTCGCACAGTAGTGAAGGTGCCCCGGGCATTCGATCATTTTTTCTGGATATCGATGTAATTCTGGATTATAGCGTTATTAAAATTGCTTCTTAACTTTGTCTAATTCATATGTGAATGGTCAATCCGTTGGAGTTGTTTGTGCTAATAACAGTAGTAGTGTAAAGGAAATATTGGCGCGATTCGAATCGTCGAGGCTGTCGCACGCGAAGTGTGTCCCGGTGAACGCGTTTCTCTATAATGAAAAAAGAAATCTTCAAATCAATATCGATCGATAATAAGTTATTATTATTAATACTACTACTCTTATTAATATTATTATTATTATTATTGCCAAGCTACACACAGCACACATACACACACATACAGTGATAATATATATAAATATAATTTAAATATTTTTTATTTTAGTGGTTATCAGTATACCCAAAAAGTCATATATATATATATATATATATATATATATATACATATATATAATTTTTTAAAGCAACATGCAATATATTTCTTTTAAAGTAAAATATCGTGGACATCGTGTCGCGGATATTCTGTATTTGATCTAACTTTAGATTCTCCGGGATATTATTTCCAGATATTTTCACCTAACGCAGCGACAACTCAAATAATAATAACGAGATTTGATGCAAGCATATTAAGACATGTGACGGATTTTGAAGAGAGCGATTGCGCACACGCGAAAATGATGTGTATTCCTTGATTTTGTAATTATTTAAAACCGAGGAGATGACGAGTACTTAAACTTCTTTTTACAATTACAATTTTATTTATTTGGAAATCTAGTGCGTGTTGTGTATGTGTGTTCCATTGTGTTTACTTGCAGCTTCTATGTATTGAGAACGAAGCAGATGCATGTTTAATCTTTGCAAGAAAAGAGAAACTTTATGAAAATTGAGGGGAGTTTGATCATATAACTGAAAAAAGAAAATGGGTTCACTGCCCCATCGTTGTGTTTGCGTCACTTGAGAAATAAATTGTCCGCTCGACCTGCCGTTGAGACATACTACTGCCTCGACTCTTCGGGTGTCTCCAGCAAGGAAGCCGTTTCATTAGCTGCGTGTTATTTGAGATAATCATCTAATCGATGAAACAAATCTGGATGTCGATTGTGTATTTTCAAACTTAGTGAGAAAAAATGCAGGAGCTTACTAGAATATTTATAATTTCATTGGTCAGGATCTAGTAAATTTGCTCACTTTTATCATTTTCACTATTTTGAGGTACACAATCGAACTTCTGGTTGCACGTTGAAAAACATTTTGAATGGATGCTTTCAGAAATCCTACTCGACGGATGGAGTAGCGATTATTAACCAATCACGATAAAGAAATTTCTGCTCTTTCTATCTTGATTGGCCAATTAAATGCTGTCTTACCCATCGAGTAAGATTTCTGAATGCATCCTGTGAAAGATGGTGGCAAGCTTCGAGGCTTCAAACAAGGTAGAAATATGGTATAATTTTAATATCATTAAGCAGGGTCTAATGGGAATTTACGCTCCAAACCTTAAGAAATAGACTAATTATAGTCGATTATTCTCCTCACATTCGACTGTAATTGGTCAATTTCTTAAGGCTTAAAACTTAAAACATCTATTGTAAACCGTGACTTATCCTTTTTAAGAAACTCTTTCTTTCTTTATAAACTTTCTTTACAAAATTGAGAAATTCGCTAACTACATGTGTAATATATACATATTTAAAACATATTATTTATCATATACATTTTTTATATATTATCAATAATGAAAAATTTAAATGTAAATTTATAAATCTACATAAATTTAGACAAGGAAAAGAAAATTTGTACGAAACACAACGACTGATGGAATAAATTTCGATTTCTTTAGGATATTATATTAAGTACAAGAATTTGCAAGTGGAAGAAAAAGGAGTAGAGGAAAGAACGACGAACTGTGCTTCGACACAAGGTACATAATTAAGGATAATTATATTATTTACATATTTAAAAAGAGGATACAAAAGACGAGAAAAGGAGGGGGAACTTGTTTCACCGGTGAATGCAACTTTTACTATTCACTCGGTGAGAACGGGTCGTGTGATTCTCTCATCCGCGATCGCGGCGATGTGAATTGGGGTTAAACCTCCGTGGAAGTTTTGTGAAAACCAGCGACACTCGCGACATACACACGCCTACACTACCGCGCCTCGCGATATCTCCCATTGTTTACGCGGAGTTACGAGCGACTGGAGAACATACTGGCAGTGAGCCACGTGCGTGTGTGTGTGTATGTGTTAAGGATTTGAAACGGTCATCGGAGCCTGATAATTAAAGGCGGATCGATTTGCTCGTGTCTACAACGACGGTGAGTAATTATGACATAACGCCAGTTAAACAGTATCGTGCCTGTTCGCGAGCAAACAGGGCGGGGATGTCACTCGGGCGGGATCCGCGTTGAAGTGAATCGGCTCGCGCATATTCGGCCAGCGGCCTTGGGCAATGGGACAGCCGCATGTTTCGTCGGCGACGAGCCCCCTTGGTCGCCCGCGATCGTCCCTGCGATCCTCTCGCTCGCTTCCTCCCTCGCGATCGAGGCTACGCTCGGACGCGCGGAAATAACGCGACGTCGTTGTAAGCTCGATTGCTGACTCTGCAATCTAATTGTACCTATGATGACTAAACTGTTTTTACGACTGCGCAGCCTGTCGGAATGACTGATAATGCTAAACGACACGTTAACGCGTTACCTGCTTCAGCGATCGATATCGTTCTCATGTGATTCCGAGCTCAAATGAGCCGAGGTCTTTCCGATTTCCGTCAGCACACGTCGTGATGTATTATTATTATTGCGCAATGTGTCGCTGCATCTTCCGTGCATACTGTTAAATTAGTTAAATTGATGGTGACATTGAGGAATTTCTGGGTGGAAGTGGAATATTCATGTGTGTGCGTGTGTGTAACGTTCTGTTAATACCAGGTAGAGAAGTCTCCTGCTCGTCATGCATAAAAACGGACCACCACCGCCTTACGAACCACCCCCATATGCACCACCAGCTTATTCCCAGACCGTAGGAGGTGTTCCGCCCGCTAGCCCGTTTACACCTGCACAGACATGTAAGTTACTCAAGTGTCGGACGCAAGTATTTTTACATATGTTCTGCCTTAGAAATGTTCGCATCAATTAATAATTAATCATTGGTTATCAATTATTGATACTATCATTCAGCAGAAGAAGCAGCTTAGTGAGCGCTTAGCAACCGTTGCAAGATTTTCTATTGAAATGACACCGGCTGAATGACACTTGGCAATTTATGTCGCTTAATGTTTACTAAGTGGTCCAGTGTATTAATAGTATGCTGGAAAAAATAGCAACCACTTAATAAGCATGTTGGAAAAATTAAACCACTGAGTGCCGTTCAGCAGAAAATCTTACAAGAGTTGATGACATACAAAGTTGCTGGCAGCGCAGAGCAAAGCTTATTAACACGTTCACGACGGGGTGCATCACCGGTGGGTCACGCTCGACTGTCCCATCTGGCGGCGTGCATCACCGGTGGGTCACACGATACTGAGCCATCGGGCGGCGTGCATCACCGGTGGGTCACGCTTGAACATTCGTTTAGACATCGCTCACCATCAAAAATATAGTTCGTTTAGTAACTGGAAAAAATTGCCGTATAGTTGAAAATTTAAATAATTGAAATTTGAATGGCGCCGCCAGATGAAGCGCAGCATGAATTCGAGCGCCGCCTCACAGCGAAAAACATGAAAATCGACCCCGGCGTGAACGTGTTAATATACTTTTTCTGCTGAGTGCAGCCACTAACGAATGAAGGTGTGTCGTGAATTACATTGTTATTTTATCGTAGATGCAAATGGGCCCACTATAGTTACAACGATTGTACCCCTTGGGCCGGGACCCACGCATACAATCTGTCCGCATTGCCACGCTGAGATCGACACGTCGACCAAAACGGAGCCCGGCATGGTCGCTTACATCTCTGGAGTCATTATAGCGTTACTGGGGTAATTACTGGAGGAACATTCAGATCGCACATTGTTTTATACACACACACGTGTATTCGTGGATGACAAGTTCCTTTCCTTTGTACCAGATGCTGGCTGGGCTGCTGCTTAATTCCTTGTTGCATCGACGAGTGCATGGACGTCCATCACAATTGTCCGAACTGTAAAGCTTACTTGGGACGTCATAGGAGATAAGAAAAAAAAGCAGATCGCCTTATAGCGTCCACGGGTTGCATTTGCACGGTGGGACATGTATCTTTGCGACGCTGCAATTCCGCGAACGGATGTATCGAGCTTGATCTGAAACCTGTACAGTCTGGGAGTATAATTCTCCGCGAGGGAGTGTCTGCGAGATACGCAGTTCCTCGCGTATCTGAGTTAGATCTTGTAACGGAGGATGCACGCATATGTTCAGACAGTATATGATTACCTATACTGTCGTTCTCTATACGTCTACGATTAATCTCTTTGCACGAAATTTGATATAATCTTTTGCACGTCTTTGTAAAAATATTTATTGTGCTTTTGCATAAAAGGCTGACGCGATTCTCTCCACAACACGATACCGTGCAGGATCCTCGGCAGTGTGAAGCATGTTCGCCTCGGGACGCTCGCGTTTACACCCGTTAGAAAAGGACACGTTAACACGAGTCGTGCTTCCATATTAAGAGGTGTGCAATTCAACTACATCGGTGCCGTATAAATACAAGGCAAGATTGTTGGCGGCATTGAAACCTTAGAAATTAACTTTTACAAATTCAATCGATCCGCGTCGATCATCGACTCGGTCATCGTCGTCGTCGTCGTCGTTTGATCCCTCGCGTTGGTACTCAATCGAATACGTCTATTTAAGTTGACGCTCGGAGGCAGCTAAAGCATAATACGTTACATCACGTGCCTGAGAGACGAGCTGGACGATTTTGGCGGAACGTCCGGAAGACGCGATTCCAACGCCGGGAGTATTAATGTTCATAGCATGACGTTAAGATCAGTTAGAACCAGGTGAGCATTGATGTGCGTGATATTTTCATTTTTTTTCTACTTGTCTCTTAAATTAACGAATCTCTAATGCGGGATCTATATTGGGACACTCGGACACAGTATATTTGTTCGTACAACAGTTTGCACGTGTCTTTTTTTTTTCCTGATAAAGTTAGGAGCGCACATGATCACGATTGTAAACCACCGCACGCGGGCTTCCATGGTAATCGGTCGTGGCGGAGGTCGAATGACAGTACATGGTGTAAACAGTAGTTTTTTTTTTTATTATATTTTTACCGATTTTTTTCACATATAACAGTATAATAAGAGACATAGGAACGATTTAGCTGTCAGAAATAGGAAAGTGAATTTTATTCTTGAAAAGATAAAAGAGTCAGTATTTAAAAACAAGTGAGTAAAGAGCGAATTTTTCAAGTAATTTGTATATTAAAAATTAAATTGCTTATCTATTATTTTTCTATTCTTCTAAGAGATTAAAACGTTTATAATAAAAGTCACTGAAGAACACATTTAAATTTTGTGGAACAAAAGAAGTTACATGATGCAGAGAACTTAAGTTACTTTAAACTTATTCTTAGACATATATTTAGATAGAGCAAAGTTTTTTTTACAAAAGACAAATTAAATTTCTTGCTTTTTAAGTGCATTTAATGAAATAAAATGAAAACATTACTCGAGTCCAATTAAGCTGTATTACAATATGTTTCCAGGATGTTAGTATATGTGTGTATACTACTGTGATCAAAAAGTACCTGAACTTTATTAAAAAAAAAATCGCGGGAAAACTGTAAATCAAATCCGTTTGCTTTCGTAAGTTGGTACACGTGTCCTTCACATTTGATGAAAAAAAAAACCACGGCGTTCCTTCAAGTCGTTTGAGAGTGACAGTTGTTTATGTCAATGAAGATTTTTACGATGTCGAAAAATATGGAACAAAGAATTTGTTTGAAATTTTGTGTCGCAAACAAAATTTCGTTCACAAACGCATTCAAAATGTTGCAAAAATCTTATGGCGGTGATTGTTAATCGAAAACAAGTCGGTTTGAGTGGTTTAAGAAGTTTCAAGAAGGCCGAGAATCTGTTGAAGACGATCCACGCTCTGGAAGACCATCAACGTCAACGGATGACGCTCACGTTGAGAAAGTGAAAGAATTGGTGCTCGAAAATAGTCGATTCACTGTGCGAGAGATAGCAGATGAAGTTGGAATATCATTTGGATCGTGTCAGCCACATTTTGTCCAATGTACTGGACATGGAACGCGTCGCGCTTGATTCCGAAAAACCTGAATTTTCTCCAGAAAAGGAATCGAGTGTTGGTGTCGTCTGAGATGATTTCTGTGGTATCCAAAGACAGCGCATACACGAACCGGATCATAACTGGTGACGAAACATTGGTTTACCAGTGCGACGTCGAAACAAAGCAACGATCATCGGAATGGCGCTTGAAAAATAAAGCAACATCGAGGAGAGCTTATCGTTTGCAGTCTAAAGTCAAGGTCAGGCTCACGGTTTTCTTCGATCATCGCGGTGTTGTGCGCCAGGAATTCCTTCCAATTGGTGAAAAAGTCAATGGAGAATACTACTTGTCCGTCATGAGGCGTTTGTGCGGAGTAATCCGTAGAAAACGGCCGGAATTGTGGGAAAGCAACTCGTGGATTTTGTATCACGATAATACATCATCGCTTGCCTCGGCACTTGTGCGTGAATTTCTGACAAAAAACTCAACGAATGTCGCTCCGCAAGCACCGTATTCACCAGACATGGCCCCCTGCGACTTTTTCCTGTTCCCCCTACTGAAAAAACCACTTCGCGGACGGCGTTTCAAATCGATTAAGAACATAAAAGAAAAATGCTGCGTGAACTGAAGGCCATACCGTCTGCCGCGTATGAGCGATGTTTCCAGGACTGGCTCAAACGTTGTTGGTACATATGCGTTGTAAGCAATGGGGATTACTTTGAATGAGGCTATAAGAATTTTGATGATTGAATTATTTTGATTTTTAAAAATAAAGTTCGGATACTCTTTGATCACGGTAGTATGTATATCTCAGATCTTCCTTGGGGAAAAATGATTATATAAAATTAGAGAAAATGATTATGTAATGTAATTATGTATGTCGGATGTCTCGTGATACATTTCGGTTCTGTCGTAATCGAAATTCAATGAAAAATAACCAAACGGTTATTAAGGGCTCCTAACTTCGTCGGAAGAAACGTACGTAAATTGTTGTGCGAACGAGCGTGCTGTTCGTTAGAATCTCACTCAATGAACCGGCCAGTTTTGTAAGGCAATTAAACGATGCCACCTGCAATCTTAACGTTCATTGCCTGAGCGTAATCGACGATGACGCCCGAATTTTACATATTAATGCGTTAATTTAATCGTTTGAAGCTTGGAAGTTCGTAAAACTTATTATACGCTCGCTTGTATTAAAAATGATAACAAAAAAAAAGGAAGTTGAAATTATACATATATACACAATACAATTTTATATTACATAAGGTGTAAAAGATACACCGAAAAGCGCAGGAGTACGACCGAGTACTTCGATACGTGCAAGATAATGGAATTGAGATGTCGTTCATTGAAAAAAAAATATGAGCTTGATATTGTATTAAGAGACTTATATGAGCTGGTATTGCGAACGAAAACCGTCGAACGCGCATCGTGCGAAACATCGTGCGTACATTAAATAGAGTCGAAATTGCAACGAGACTAGGCACCTTTACTCGTTCTGACCTCATGTGCTCTTATATACTACAAGATATTTCTATTTTGTTAAATATGTAAAAGATTGTAACGAATAAAAACAGATATTAGACGAATATTAACGACCCGAATGTTCTCATCAGCGACACTCGATCGCGGATGACGTTCGTGACTTTCGTTTTCCGCAGTATCATTACTGCGAAATTCTTTGGCCAATCAAACACTTGGGTTCTTGACAGGGTACCATCTTCAAAATATGCTTGGAGTCTGGTCAAAATTTCAGCTGATCGACGCCTTCGTTGGTGAGAAATTGGATGATAATGCGTTGCGCAACAGTCGTAGGTACCTTTTGTTCAGTCGTGGTGTTACTGAGGAGGGAACAGCAACTGAGGAAAGTTGCGGGGGATCGCTCCTCTCCATACATCCCTGCCTGATTGCCTGGAGCACCCCGGCCCGCTTGCGGCTCTTTCTGAGTCCGCAGGTAAAAAATCCGGTTTATATTTGAATGATCCTTGTATAATTTTAATGATTCTCCGCTAGCTGCTTGATTAGTTTCAAGAGAAAAAGAATTCCTAATTTACAGGAGCCAAGAGCCAAATTCAGATTTGACTTGGAGGATCTCCTGCGGCGAGAACGTGAAGCACCGTATCTCTGTGTAGGTATACATTCGTACTCGTATAAATACTAATCATCGCTTTCGCGCAGATGCAAGAGCGGAAAAGAAGTTTGGTGAAGTTGATTTAAAAAAAAAAAGGGTGAAAAAGAAAAACGCTAAATTCATGCGCTTTCCTATACAACTGTACAAAAGGAAATATTGCTATAAAAAATACTAAAGGGATGATACTAGAGTATCTATTAAAGCTTGTCCATAATGCAAGATCTCGATCCGAGTTGGTTGGTAGAGTATAAAAGTTCTAGAAAATACTTAGCAAAGTTAGTAATTTAGCAGTAATTTCTGGAAACTTTTATGTCCGGCTAGCAACTCGAACCGAAATGTAGCATCGTGGACACAAGACTTAATAAAACGTCCAAAAAATACAAGGCTGCGTTCGACTGCAAAACACCACACTGAGAATCGAGTAACAATTAATTGTCGAGTCATGATAAAGAAATCTTAGTTCTTTTTGTCTTGATTTGTCCAATTTAATGCCATTGGCCCGTGCAGCAGAACGTTTAATTTGCGACTGTTGGAAGTTCTCGGAGCTGAAATTGAATTATTCTTTTAGGTCTACAGAAATAATCCAATGTCAGGAAATTCCCAACAATTGCAAATTATACGTTCTGCTAACAGTGTAGTGTTATTGAACGCTGCCCTAACAGAGTGGACACAAGCCTTAAAGACTATATCAGACTAAACTCAAGTTTAGTGAATTTTGCTCCGATTGGCCAAATATCAGTCTAATTTCTATTCTAATCCGTAGTCTGATACAGGTATTAAACATCATTAAATATTGTTATTACTAATAATGTAGTAGGTGCAAAATGACTATGGCCCATATTCTGAAGTTTTATTATAAAAATGTGGTTTTTATTAGAAAATTTTGATAAAAGTGCCTCTAAAAGTGGCTTAGAAACCACTCGATTGGCTGAGGAGCCAAATTTAGGGCACTTTTATCAATAAAAGAGAGCTCAAAATACAATAATAAGATTGATAATTGATCTTTTATTTTCAATGTTTTAAGCTATGCACGGTTATAGAAAAGCGATATTTTTTCATAATTTTTTATTTTTCTATATCTATTGTTAGGTAAAAGATACACAAGTAGATATGAATGATAGATAATTAATATTAATTACGTTTCGGCAGTGACAACGTGCGAGCTTTGTACGATACTCGAAATGGGTCATGATAAGGCTTGTTCCATAGTCGACATTCAGTAGAGTAATGCGATCTTACACTTAGAAATAGCAGAAATCTTCATAGAAAACAAGGAAAGAGGCAAATCGTGACAAATGCTATTCAACGTTTCCGCTTTCAAGGCGCATAGCGAACGCAACGGTTCTGGAATCATCGAGTGACTTCGATTGGTTTATACTTTCAGACTTACCGAGTCATATTTTACTAACATTCTATTGCTTAACTGTGTGTATTTGCCTAACGTAACTCATGATCGTGTTTGTCGAATAGTAAGATGTGATTTGCTGTTCGGTGCATGAGGTCTCTGCATAAATAATGAAGTATTAATTGCACAGAAGGACGAGACGAATAGTCGAATTAGTCAGAATGACGGATCAAGATGCGAATAATAATACTCTTCCATTACGGAAGGATTTAGTAAGAATTATTACATTACATTGTTTATATTACATTACTAAATTATATTAAATATTGCATATATATAATATCGACGATATTACTTTATAAATTTTTTTCCTTGCTTACAACGCATGTTTATGTAACGACACGATAGTGCAGGGAATAAACGATGCATTAGCCGGCGTTTAATCTCAAAATTTTTACATTGAAGGTACAAACAGCAGTACAATTTCTGAAAAATCCCAAAGTATCGCAAAGCCCGATAGATCGTAAACAGCAATTTCTCAAGAAAAAAGGCCTCACGGACGAAGAGATCAAGGTGGCTTTTGATCTGGCATCCGTCGATACCGCAGTCGAACAACCCGATGTTTTCCAAAATCAGCCACCACCTCCATCACTGTACACTGCTGTACAAATTCCACAGCCGGCTGTTTATCCATATCATCTGGCCGATATTAGTCAGTTAAACGTTTACCAAAAAATCAAGGAACTTTTTAATTTAGCAGCTTTGATCGGCGCAACAGTATACTGCATCTATTGGTTTTACAAGGTATCCTATCGCAATATAAAAGATGATAAACATTTTCCTGTTACTTAATAAGATATCTTGAAAACTTGCAAGTATATCATGATGCGGTTTCTGATCTTTCAGAAATTCATAAGACCGTTTCTGTTCGGTCGGAAGAAGCCAAAACGCAGCGTGGAAGATGCGGTTTCAGAGTTGAACGAAACTATAGAAAGATGCGCAGAACCAACGAAAGCCTCTGTTCTGAAGATGTGCGAAACTGTGTACGATATGAAGGAACAAAATAGAACTGTTTTAAGTACAGTGCGAGAAGTCAAGGTGGATCTAGTTAATTTAAAAGCTATGCTCTTGTCAAGGTATCTTTATCCATTCTCTATCGTTCTTCTCACACACGGATTATGATTATATCTTACAGCAGCATGCACAACACAGATACACATTAAAACGCGCACACATAGATCAGTAATAGCAATTTATTGCCATACAATGAGATTGCTTAATTTTAGACATCATTTGCGGTTTTGTTCTCATACGGTGGTATGTTCGCTCACGTTAAGTTTATTCTTTTTACAAGGAGATCAATCACAACCTCACACACGCTCACATATGCAGCTTTACCCGAAATTGCTTAGAAAAGTAACGTAATCGAGCTTTATCGCCGCGATCATTCTTTCAACGAGAATCACGTGGTCTCACAGAGTGTATGATCTACGATTCCAGATTCAAAACACAATTTTTGCCGCTTATTTCCTTACGCCTATTTTTGACTTTTTTATACGCGCACCTGAATCGATCCTTTTTCTAGTATATAAACAGTTCCTCGATTGCATTATACATACACACATACTTCTTTTGCACTGCAAAATCAATCGCGTAGGAAAAGTTGCTCGCAGTTCCAAATCTTTTACAAATACTTGGTCTCTAATTGTACAGTCCGTTATTTGTCGTTACAATGTCCGATATTACATTTTAACGGTGACAAATGTTTAAAACAGTAGGAGGTTTCCCACCGCTCCAACATCGATCCCAACGTGGCAGTTGGATACCACGAATGAAACGCAAGAGAAAGCAACTGAGCGTGAGGACGATGCCGGAAGTGGAAGTAACAATTCCGATAGTTCCTTGGAGATGATTCGGGAGGAACCGGCTAAGGAGTAAATTTAGGAATTCCGTGTCTACCATAATCACTTCTGTGAAAGATAGTCCTCTACATACCGGCCTTGTTTACACTGATTATTTAATATCCGTGCCAATCAATCATACTTTCAACGATGTATCGTGCCAATTGAACACAACAATTCACGTGCATCGTTGAGTCAAGATGAATTGAACAGATGATTATTATTCATTTCAGTACGTTTATCAAACGATCGGTGTAAACGCAGCACGCGTTCTCTCCCTCTGATCCTTGTTATTATCATATATTGGAAAGGAGGATTGCGGTTACAAATATTTGTCGCGTGTTACCTTTATTACCTTTTATTGGTGGCAATAAACATTCTCGCATTTTCGGTGAAATTGGTCACTTCTTAAGTATTTCAATATTTACCAGCCGATATTCCGTTGTACAAAGAGTAGACCTCTTTCTGAGGTTTCCAATATTATCGAAAGAAAGAAGAAGAAACGGCTTCGAACAATGATAACGTCGTTTTCTGTTACATTGTTAATACGATATAACGAATAAATCTGACAGAATAAATGTAATTGGATGAATGTAATGTGGAGTATATTTTCTTACTTATAACTTTTAATAAAATACGCCTTTCGTACAAGATCTAAACGGAGAGTTATTAATTCCTAGAAGACTTAGTTCAATACTCTTCGTGTATCATCATCGCTGTACATATATAAAAACCACGAATCGGGTGAACATAGAAGTTATTGGTTGCTCGGTGCTTTCAAGAATGCCTTCAAGACGACTGTACCGCTCAGCAACAAGCTGTGTGATCCTGCAGCTGTTTGTTAATCGATGTAGTGTTTATACGGTGTATCTACGTATAAGGAACTTCTTTACAGAGCACGTGGGAATTAAATTATCTCCATCGTGTGTGGAGTGATAAACATAAATAATAAATATATAAAGGTATACACATATTACACGGAGGAGACGATGGTCATGAAACCACGAGTGATCGACATCTCAATCAATCGGAATCAATTGTCGACGATACGACGGGGGTATCGTATTAAAGAATATCCTAAATCCTGTCGCAGAACTGAGAAATCGGTATAGCTCTACACCGTAGAGACGCACTATCTACCGATATATATATATATATACGTGTATGTGTGTATATGTGTGTGTATGTACAGATATGATTTTTTGAACAAATAGATTAACTACTTCCATTTAGAATACTATATCTATTGCCCATGGCTCTCTCTCTCTCTCTCTCTCTCTCGTGTCTCGAGCAAACGACTGATCGTTATGTACAATAGAGAAAGTACGCGAAGATCCTATAATATACAATAAATAAACGATAAAAAGGAAAAAAAGGGCAAAAAATCTTCGTTCACAGGATAAATCATCGACGTCGTTAAATCTTGTGCACATGGGCGTGTATTTCTTCTTGTGTGTTGTCCTCTTCGAGGAGAATTGTACGAGAAAATTTTACATTTATATATAAATGCATGCGTATGCATGTATATATATATACATATGTAGATATTTAAATGAATCCCATATTTTACGTCTTACTTATTATCATTCACACGAACATCAGTCACACTCGATCAAGCATATCCTGAGGAATATGTACAAATCGTATGACGTCCGATTGTTGCTGTTGCATTTTCCATGATGCATGATGCATGATTGCAAAACGAACAAAGTACACTAGGCGTGTGTGTTTGTGTGTAGAATCGTTATCTTGCTATTATCTCGCTTGGAGTGCGTAGCCAATGAGAACCAATGAATATAAATCGTGGTTGCCCACATGTAATGTTCCGTATCGTGAAAAGATCGCGGGGATGAACGGACGTTACCCCGTTTCCTCGTTTTGCATATCATATTACATATAATATACATGTACACATGTATAATTATATGTGTATATGTACACACACATATATTATATATATTTATATATATATTATATATGAATATATTTTATATATACTAGATATACCGGGATAACTGCCTCACTGATACAGTGAGTTACAGCCAAGTGTCCTTTTTGACTTAGTATATATTTCTCTATATCCTAGAATAATATACAGTAACAAAAGTATCTCGTTTCAGTTACGTTCTTTTCTTTCACACGCACGCACTCACTCACTCTCTCCCTCTCTATCGTTCGTTCGTTCGCTCGCTCTTTCTTTCCATGATGTGCCGCAAAAAAATACATAAATAAAAACTTTAAGTAATCCTTATCTAAGACGAAAAAATTCTGCTGGTAGCGCGACTCTATATTATATTTTCACACCTTGGTCTTTGGCAAATGCTTATGTAACAGAAAAAAAGAAGTAAAGAAATTTCAACGGTTCCTTGCACACATGGACTGTACGTAACGTAAAGAACTATCCTAGGATACTTTTTGTGCTGATGCAATTATTGGCTAAATACCGCTCCCCTTCGCAATGTCTCCTCGTCGTACGACGAGAATGAAAAAGAAAAACGAGGACTTGAGAAGGAGCCTCATTGTCTCATTATACGGGCAACGACCTCTAATGTTGCTCTATTATCGATAACAATAATTCTAGGCTAGACACACTAAATTGTTAGCAGCTCCATCTCTAGAGGATATCTAGCGTATCGTTCAATCCCAACTATGCTACCAAGTATGATGTAAGTGTAAATTCCTTGAAAGAACAGAACGCACGTCTTGCGTGAAGCGAAGAGCATCCAGCACTGGAAGTAAGCTCAATAAAGCAGTATCTCCTGCATCGCTGAACCATGATTTTATGGGTATCGCGTTATCTACGGCATAAACAAAGAGGAAAAATGGTATATATAACAGAACACATATCATTATCATCATATGGCACCTCTTTACTTCGATTTTATATACGCCTTTGACAGCGCTGAATCACATGTATTTCTTCTTCAAAGCAAAGAGAGAAGATATAGTTTTGAAATTGCTCTTTAATATCACATTTCGACTTCGTAATTATTTTTTATACGCTGCATCCAAGAAAATCAAACGCACAAAGTTCTTTTCTTATATTTTATATGTTCTTTTTTTTTTTCATTTAAAATAACGTACAAGTAGGGAGCGATATAAGATCAATTAACAATACGGATAAAAAATTAATAACACGTTATACAAATGAAAAGCACAGGATAGTGATTTATTTAGAACGGAATTGTTATGACAAATATTACAAGGAACTATTAATACTGCAAAATTTCCATAATTTAATTTTGATCGATTTGATTTTAACATATTTTAAATATTTGCTGCTGCATCCCCTCACCTCACATTTGTTGTATCATCTAAATATAATAATGTTCGGTTAAACTTGAATTATATAATAATAAACGTGAATTATAACAATAAGCACACAGGCGCATGTATTTCGTGATCATTACAAGCTTTCCACTTTTCAATAGCTATGTAAAAAAGGTCGTTCATTGTTCGATACGGATTGTTTGATTTTCTTCAATGCGAGAAGTTACACGACTCGACGTCGGGAATCAAATTTACCCTGTGAGAAACCACCAGTACCTGATCTACAAAAATTACTAAAAGATCTCGATAACAGCTGAGATTATTTCACCGTCGACCATTGGAATACGGTAAACCCGTGCTTACTCAACTGGAAGAATGTATCGGCGGTTGCTTTTATTTAGACTTATCCGTACGTCCCTGTATTCAGTGCTTGCTTACCGAGCATCAACGTTAAAAGCTGTTCGTAGATACGTTCCTCATTCATCTTACTGCTAATATAACTGCTAAGATCGGACCCGTGTTTCACGTTCTCCCGATTTGCTTTATCGCCAATTATTGAACTTTATTACATCTCATTCATTTTTCCACAAGATTGAAACGCGAACGACGCGTGCGACATGAAAAACACTCGAGACAGGTTTTATAAGTATTAATGTTAGATATCCGAAGAAAAAAAAAACTGGTTTCACGAGGCGTAAGAAGAGACAGACGTGTGAAGGTGACGAACTCGATGGTTGGCTGGAATAATAAAAAAATACGCAGGACAAGTTGGTTTATCGCTTATCATTTATATCGCGACAAACGCGGATATTATTGTTACTCGTAACGTAACACGATATGAAGAAGAATATTCGACTATTTTAGAAACATGTTTAACGACCGACTGTCCTCGTCAAGTGAATTAATATGCAACTGCACGTAATCGTCGGTACTTTGTAAGCAAGTTCTGACTACAGGAAACAATATTCGATAACTAACGCGGAATATACGGTAGGTTCGTTACGGGAGGCGTTAAAGAATATCGCAAGGCCGAATGGAAGATGGTTTTTTTAACGGTAGAGGGGGGGGCTGAAGGCCATTTAAAACTTATTTACTTCTTATCGCTCTCACGTGCAAATCGCGATCGAGATTGGTGGCTCCCGAGATAACGCATCTGCCTGAGCATGGGAGATGATTGTAATGAAATTCACGTGTACACTTACCTGGATAAGCTCTGTAGGCTCCTGGACTGTTATCAAGAATAAAGACTGAGGAGAGATCTGAGCATATTGCCGACAGATCCTTGGTATAGGAACCCATTTCTGGTGTACAGTGTTGCCTATAATACCTGCGCCTTAAAATACCTCTGTTGTTGTCTAGCTTATCCGCAACTGCCGCCCCATATATTTCCATGGACGCGGTGAAGACTACGAGTTCGTACCTAAAAACGCAATATTGTTGTATAGATAATGGCAGGAGAGGCAATTAATGCAATCTTATCTCCGTGTCAAAGTCTGCGAGCGCGAGAATGCAAGTTAATCGGAAACGGACTTATCTCTCTCCTTCTCTAACGACTTACCACTTACCATTGACTAACAATGTCCAAGAAGAAATCTACGTGTGGTCTCTTATGAACAAAAAACCTAACTGGATGTCTGTCTATTGTCACTTTAAGAACAAAATCCGGAGGTGTGCCAGGCCTGACGGTCGGCCTCGCCACTCCATCGTGATGAGAATGAATTAATGTTTCATCTAAATCCAGTACTAATACCTTCCTTTTAACTATACCTGCAACCAATCTTGCATTACACACAAATACTAAGCACACACACACACACACACACACACACACACACACACACACACACACACACACACAATCTGGCGCGATATGGCGAATTAACTTCACGTCATCATCGGTACTTACTAAGTCTGTGCCTAGATAAAGGTGAAAGTGGGAAGATCTCATATTTGACTGGCTGCATTTGCGAGACCTACAAGAAGGACACGTCACTTGTATATCGTGAATTTCCAGCGTACGGGAAAATTTACACGCAACAGCCGCTTAGACAGATAAACTACAGATCAATTCTGATGGCGACACAGCAATCGAGAAGAGATCAGGTGATTTCTATAAAATAACAAGGCTCCATTCTACTAAATTAAAAGGAAAACAACACCAATACATATTACAGCATGACGGTTCGGATCATCGTGGACACGTGCGAATCACAGCATGGAACCATGGATACACTGTTCATCTCGCATTGCAATTGGAGTCTGTCTCACACAGACATCGAATAATGACATCAAACGGACTTTCACACGGCCCGTGGGAAAGGAAGGAAATGAGAAAAACGGGGAAACTCCGAAGTTTCTCATAGAAGTCATCCGGTTTATCATCGGAGCCTCGAGTGTCTCCGCCGTGGCACCACTCGCGGGTATTACCGGAGCGCAACACAGAGATATGTCAATACGTGTGCAGCGAGCGGAGAGAACTCGGTGCGAGGGAAACGGTGTGTACAGGAGAGAGGGGAGGGGGGGGGGGAAGGNGGGGGAAGGACGGACAGACGGAATCCGCGCAGGGTAGAGGCGGTCGTCTGTCGCGTCGGGACTCTGAAGAAGGCGAATAGAGGCGCGAGGCACCTACTTACGGTTCTAACCTGCTTCTTGAGTAGAAAGCAAATGCAGGTCCACACACGGGAGGCCATTAAGAGGAAAGCTCTCATCCCCATCTGCAATTGCTTCAGCATCTCTACGGGTCTTCTTCACCGGGCCGAAGTCCGGCAACACTTGATCTCCGGTGTCGAATCCCCCGTATATCCTCCGTTTTTTCTCTCTCTCTCTCTCTCTTCCTCTGCCCTCTGCTTGTGTGGTGTGTCTGTGTGTGTGTATTTATGTGAGTGTTATGCGTGTCCCTTTCCCAGTTTTGCACTTCGCGTTTCGCGAGCGCGTAGCTGGCCCCGCTCGCGCGGGCAAAACCGAAAGCCGAAAAAGAAGTGTCCGCTTTCTCACTGCCGCTTATCGTAAACAAACGATAACACCCCCGCGATCGCGCGCGAGAGAGAAGAAGAAGCCGACGGAAGGAGTCCCGCGTGAGAGCGCGGCGTTTTCACGCGCGTGCCATGCCGCCCCGCACGAGTGGTCGGGTTTCGCGCGTGTCAATGCACCTTATCGTGCTCCCTCATGTTTTTTCCCGAGCAAAATCCGAGCACACACGAGCCCCCTTCACGCACATCACGCAGCAGCGGCCGCCATCTTCCGCGCATCGACCCAATTTTTCCCGTGCCCCCGACTGGCGCGCGCTCTCGCACTCTCGGCGCCCCGCGAGATGATCATCCGTGATCCCCGCCGATTTCGCGCCGCGCGCGCGACTCTCGCGCGAAATCGGCCGAGCGGACTCGCCCCGCACCCAGCGGTCGTCGAGATCGCTCGTCGGACGCTTCGCGACGTCGCGCGCGATGCGAACGGCCCGGTGAGAACGGGACCTGCGGAAAGTATCGTGTTCCTTCGCGCGAAGAGTTTTGCTCGCTCCGGGTGTCCGAGATTATAGCGGTCTTCGACGGTGCGAGCTAGTCGAGAATAATTCGAACCGAATAATTTGCACTCGTGGGGTTTTGAGAAGCCGTATGAGTTAAACGAGTTAATGGTCGAATATCGCTCCGGGTACGTACGCGATTGTTATCGCAGGGATCCGAATTTGAATTTCTTTATTTTAAGCGAGCGAATGTTCGCGAATTTGAACGTACAGATCGTAGCCTGATCGAACGTCCTTTCGCGAAAATGGACGTTGGTCGTTGAAATTCGCGTGTTTCGGGTGTATTGAATAAATAATATTCGTTCCGATATCGGAAGATTTGCAAGGAGCAATCGCGCGGGTCGGAACTGATTTGAAGACGCGGATGAACGAGCGCCATCTACACTCACTGTCGTCTTCGGTAACCACGTTCCTGTGCGCGGTATGAGGAATAGTGATCGTAATTATCTTGTTATTAAACGGTCAATGCTTGGTCGACCATCGTTGCGCAATTAAAACACATTTCTCTTATCTTCAGCAGATTAATTAAATAGAAACAAAAAATTTGTATTAAATAACCATCCGGGAAAAAAGATCATATATGAAATTTGCCTATATATTAATTTCTAATTTTAGCCCGAGAGTACAAAAGACACTTCAGTAATATTACGTTTAATCAGTTAATTCGATGCGAGGACTTAAAGTTACACGGCAAAGCGCGTGAGATTAACCGGAATTCGTCTAGGTTTTTGTAACAACGCGTACACCAGGAGAGACAGTCTGCTAGAAATAAATTTATTAATTACATTTAAATTAAATACACACTTGTGTCTTCTAAATACACGATACGATTCATTATGTATACATAACGATAATTATCAAATAATATATAACAAAATGTACAAATTTTCTACTAATAAAGTACAGTTTCTTTATACAATCCTTAAATTCGATCAATTATTTTGCTAATACAGAATTCCAAACGTTCCCTTACGCATACGTTATCTTTGTACTTTACAACGAAATATACACAGAGTAAAATTACAAATCGAGTTACAAGAGAAAAGAGACAAAGTAACTTTATCCTACATACACACACACGCACATATTTATATATATATATATATTGTAGCTATGCTTACGATTTATCGAAATTTATATGTACAACGTTCGTTCGAGTATGTATCATAGATTTATCGTGGCGTGTTTCACTGAAGTTATAATTACATCAGTCACCGATTTCTCAGAGAGTGACTACGAAATACCTGCGAAACACCACGCTCGTCGATAAATCTATGGTACGCGCACACATGGATCCACGAAACGTTTTCTCATCAAAGGTGCCGCGACGAAACACGGACGAGATAGTCCGATTATCCTCGTGAGTTATACAAAATCTATGTACTAGCACAAATAATCAATCAATCTCGATCCTTCTGAATTAGATCCGACGCAGAATATATTACAACGACAGCTTAACAAGCCATCGCACGAAGAAGTCTTAAAAATTCGCAAACCGATTTCAAAGAAAATTCTCGACATAATCGTCTCTCTCTCTCTCTCTCTCACACACTTTCACCTTATCGACCACGCGTTTCACAATTTTACGGTTAGGTCTCTGATGTAACGCAATGTGTTATTGTCCATGTGGCTCTCGGGAAGCAGGGCGTCTGCGAAAGAAACGTCTCGAGGTCACGTATCGACGAGAATGAACGTACACCTTGTCACGGTGAGATATTTAGTATTACTAGACATATGTGTCGAAAACACTTTCTACATGCAAGAGAGTGAATGTAACGCCGGGCAAACCGAAAGATCCGCGATCTCGGCAGGTGTGTGTGTGTGTGTCCTCAATATCGTTATAAAAATGTCTTCTCCGCGAATCTATTATTGGTTAAAGAACATTGCGATTACAGGGCGAGCGAAGTCTACGTCTCTTTGAGTGCAGCGTGTGACGTTAAAAAAAGTACACGCTATTCATCACCAATTATTATTATTATCTGTTCTACGATTACTAATGTCTCGTTTAATTATCTAACGTATCATAATAAGGCGTTTTCGATGTCTGCCTTCCCTCGCACGCAACCAAGGAAAGTGTCCTTCGAGTCGCTCGTGTCATGACGGGTCAGCTATAACGACTAACTCGACGATCTCAAAGGCACCTGCTTCTCTGTCGCTAATTTCTCACTAGCTGAGCACGCAAATAGTACATCGGGTGCTAAAGAAGGGGAGTTTCGCGAAGTAAGGAATTGTGAAGGTTCTATTTCAAGAGATGAAACACACTCACGCGGGGGGTATTCTCCTACGAAATCACGATGCTCACTTTCCTCCCCGGGAAATAACGCAAGAGAGCTACGCAGGATCAACGACCTTGCAAACCTTTCGTATTTACATATATACCTCGTATAAAATCCACTCTTCTCACTCGTGTTTTGATTCTCCACCTCTTAAACAAAAAACGATCGAGTCGCAGATTCCCTCCCCCCGTCAGATCTCTCAGCAAAATGTCGTTCGAACTTAGCGTGCGCATTAATAGCTACACTGAATCGTACATGTGTGTGTATGTGTATGTACGTATCTCACGAATCAAACCGAACTTCAGTTGATTAATCATGCTACATTCGTGAATTATATAAAGCAGGAATACGTCCGAGAGAACTGCGTCTCATGCTAAGAACGTATCACTCAGAGCTTCATACATTTGTACATGTGTTCGTTCAAATAAATACACGATGAATATAATTATCACATGAACGTATCTTTCTATCGGTTGCGCTTGCCTTTACTCGTTTTCTTCCTCGTGTAATCGGAGATTGCGGGAATATCGTGGTTTTCTTATTTACACGGAACGATCATACTACTTGTGTCTCGTAGAAAATCTCTCAAAGCGTCTCTCGCCAGCTTCCTAAGGTTGGGTGGAGCTTCAACGTGATGACGATCCCGGAAGAGCTGTCGGTAAATGAAACTCGTTCCGTTCTCCTAGCTGCTACAGCTCCCCTCACAGAAGTCGCATCTCGCGTGATATTATATTGCTAGATACGACGCCGAGAACATTAATGGTGTCTATCTTGGGCGATTACAACGTTAACAACACTCGAGATTATTGACACTCTCTCTTTCTCCCTCAGCGGGGTACGACGAAAGGATGGAATAAATAAACATTACATCTGCTCGCACACTATTCTGCTGTCAATTAACCGGCGTGGTATAGGTATCACTTACTGTCGCTTACATTGTGCGCACGGACTCTTGTGTCCCGTGTGACACCGCGCGTAGGTCTCATTTTCTCTACGGCGAAAGAACGGAAAGGAAGAAGTCGTCTTTGTAGACAGTCCGTATGTGAGAATCCATGGTAATATCTATCTATAGGCCTCTCCGAAGCAATATCCTCTTTATACAAATACAATGCTCGAGCGCGTCACACGTTGTGTCACGTCGGCGCTTAGCACGTGTGTAATCGCAGCAGCAGCAGCCTCGTGTGTGTTCTCTTCGTTAATGTAATCTTCATCTAGCTATCAATGTCGCGCACTCGTGGGATACACGTGAACGTCAATTCTGTATCCCGTACTCACTCAGTCTACGAAACGACGTACGTTACCTTTAATGTGTCGTGTTCTACGTATTGCAAGCACACGCTGCGCGGCGATATCTCGTATCACGTTGCTCTATGACACCGCGTCCACTGGTGCCCACCAGAATTTCTTCGAACGCTTTCGGCGTGCTTTCGCTCTTTTTCCTGCTCTACTACCTCCTTCTTTTTCTCCCCTTCTCGACGGATTTTTGAGTCCATCGTACGATTTGGTTGTGTATCCGACGATACAGTTTGTATGTAACGTTGGATCGCGAATAAGCAGTCTTCTAATTCGCCGAGCTTCTCTCGAAACCCGGCTCATGGCAGCGCTTAACTCTTCGAGTGTACATTGGTTTTCTGTGCCTTTTTCTTCCGTGCTGCCAGCATGTCGTAGAAGGGATTGTGCGATATACTTTGTCTGAAAATGAATGAATACGTTTGAAAGGCCGTTTCCACGGAGAAATTTCACGGCTTATTATTATTCTAGTGCAAAAGAGCGCGGTCAAGCGTGAACGCGCGCGCGCGTGGCTGCATTGTCTTTTTCTGTGTCGACTTACCGCACGCACTTGATCCATTCGTCCTTCTCCTCGTCGGTAGCTGCAGACATCCTGTATACGGTGTGTTTTCCTGCGGAAGATGGTTGATGAATATTTCGTTGAAACGTATCCCCTTATATGTGTGTAAACTTTGCTTTATATTAGACGCGTTCGATCTCATCTCAATAATTAACGTTATTCTTAATTTGGCTTTCCGAGTTAGTGCCGCGTCTTTTGTGAATTCGTTCCTGACATTTCGTGAACATTTTTCAGTTTGCTTCTTCGAAGAGAACGATTCGAACTTCCTCTTCCTGAAGAAGCGAACTGAAATGTTCACGAGACGTCGGAAACAAATCCACGAAGGACGCGGCATTAACTTGGAAGCTAAATTAAGAAGTATTTCCTAGATAGCACACAATATTCATAAAATATAAAAAAATGTAGATATTAAATATTTCGTAAATACCCAAACGTTCGGAAAAGTTAGGTATGAGAAAGATTATGATGAATATCCAGAAATATTCATGATCAATTTTTCATAAATAATTAAAACATGGTTCTACTTAAATAAAATACTTTTATTATTTATGAAAAATACTCCTCAAAAATATTCTTGAATATTTATAATAATCTCTCTCACACCTAATTTTCCCGGGCATTAAATAATTACAAATTCTTTAATATCTATAATCTTAAAATATTTTATAAATATTGCTCTCCGGATTCACCACACCATGAAAGTCTTAAGTTAATAATAGGCCTCTTCCTTTCAGTTGAACGAATGCTTCGTTCCCTTTTCCTTCAGCTGTACACGTTACTTGTTCCACTCTAAAGGCAAAAAGTGCAACCTAGCTCGGTTAAAAAGAACAGACCTTACGTTATCGCGGAACAAGAATCGAACTTTAATCACTGAGACGTGTTCTTCAGCTAATACGGAATTAGACTTCGGAGGGTCCCGTACCTTCAACGACTTTCCCCTCACTGTCGGTTTTGCACGCCTTTATGAACTCGGAACCGGCGGCGTACAATTCGAAGCAATGCGGCTTGTGTCGGTCCTGAATCTCGCGGACCTGAATGTTCTCTAGCGGAATGATACCACGTGGTTCTTTGTCCGTGGTGTATTCGAAATAGTACAGGCAATTGTCGTTCAATATGAACCACCGTCTTTTCCAGCTCTTGTAACGTCCGCCTGCAACAAAGTAACAAAGTTGTATGAAATTAAGAGCCCACGGTGCCCGCAGAGATGCTATTTACCTGCTGTCTCCGTCAGGGCAGCAGAGGGACAAAGTAATAACAATATAAGAATAAGCGTTCTTCCAAACGACGAAACGTGACGAAAGTATCGCGAGAGATATCATGCGAGACCGCCGCGCTTCGTTCGACCTGACTATCGTGTCTACTCGCGAGTCTTTCGCGAAATTAAACGAACACGCCGGGAATTCCGAACCGGTGGTGACGCGTAACGGCCGTAAACCAACTTCGTGTCTTCGTGCTCTCGCATGCGCATGAGAATGAGGAAACAAGTGTTACTCGGAAAATGCACTAAGTGGAGAGAAACCAAAAGTCGCCGGGAGACATTGTTGTCGATCTACGGAGTTCACATACGAACGTAAGCGGGCCATTACCTTGCTTCCACAGCCAACCTTCTTTGTCCGGATTGAAAAAGGTGTGCATCAGGTCGTTCCCATCGTCCTCCGGTATTTTGAAAGGCTCGGTTTTTATGCTTTCGTATAGGCTCTGCGAACGAATGACATTTTGACAAACGCTCGGCGCGAGTGACTGAGATTCGAAAACACCATACAGACACTCGAAACATTTCCCCGGAAAGGGGGAAAGAGGGGGAAAAAAAAGGGAAGTTCGAAAATATTACGTGAAGCTTTTAAAAACAATCAGCGATGGCAGTCGCCGAAGATACGCGGCCGGAGAGTACGCGTTTCCACGTGAGCGTATTTCGCGTACAAATGTTATGAAACACCGACGATGCCAATTTTTACGAAAGAAAGAAAAAGAAGAAAAAAAACGGCACGCACGAATATTATGAAAAAGAAAATAACGTACCGTCGAGGTAAACTCCGAGTGAGACGATCGTTTTATACTCTCCCGGAGCGTGCATATACGCGGTATACGCATTCGACCGCGCGCACGTGAATCTGTACTTTGAACTTTCGACCGAGAGGTAAGAGAGAGAGAGAGAGAGAGAGAGAATGGAGTCTTGGTGTGTCTCCGTCGCGTAAGCATACCTACCACGAGCAGCTCTCGCGGCAGGTCTCCGCCGTTGTTAATCCCCCGATTCATCGAAATAAACTGCTCCACACTGGGCTTATCCTTGACGCTCGGATTATGCAACGATGTATTCAGCATAATGATGGCGAAGCTCAGCACGTAACAGGTGTCCGTATTGGTAAAGATATTTGGGTTTAGTTGGCAGTACCTTTGAGCGAAGCACTCCATCATGCGATCGATCTTTTGCGCCTCGCCGGGCAGTCGGAACGACCAGAGAAACTGACGTAGGGCCTGCACCAATATGAGATCCGTGAAGTCGTGCAGCTCGACGAAGGCCCTGAGCACGCGCTCGTTGAAGTCGTGTCGCTCGCCGAGGTAATCGCCGATCGCGGTCTTGTTGAGGCCCTCGCCCTTGTAGAGAAACTGAGCGACGTCCTCCGGCGTCGGCGCCAGCAGGTTGTGCTCTATCAGGTACTCGATGCCTTTCTTAGGATCCATGTTAAACTTCTTGCGGCCGATCGACGTCTGCTTGGCCTTGTTGGACGGTTTCGTCTCGTCGGCCGTGAGCCCGCCGCCCTCCATCGCTTCCATCTCCGCCACGACTTCGCCCAGTTCATCTTTGAGTTGCTGAAAGAGAAATTGTGTCGAGTTCATCGCAAAGTTCCCGGTAAACTAACCTCGACGTTATCTGTCTCTCTTCTTTTTTTTCTTTTTGATGCGAAGACGATTCGAGGGAGATCTTTATCGGCCGCGAACGATCGTCGGCGATTGATAAAAATTACCGATAAGAATGCCCATTAGGCAATGGGGAAACTAACGATTCGGAGCGAAGTGTGCAACAACGCGACGGTAGAGGTCTCGTACGCACACGGTGCAACGGCGGCTTCCTGCTTCGTGATACTCGCTTGAATACCGGTCGACACGTCCGCCTATTTCCCACCATGCGTCTCAGTTCAACGTACATTCCACGAATGCCAGCAATCAGGTTCGTGCCTCTTTCGGCTTCACGACGACGCACGAGGGCTACCTCATGCTCGCATTGTTCATTGAAATACGCATCAAGAGGTACGCCAAATGCGAAAAGATGATGATTTCACCCAGAAAAATCGATACGTATCGTTATCGTGCAAATGTACAATCGTTTCATGACGGTAAGTTGCCAATCTCTCTCTCTCTCTCTCTATTTCCTCCGATGTCCAAGACTCCTCAAAAGGTACGAGACCAAACGGCTTTAATTTCCGGAAATGTTCCCTACGCCTCGCGCCGACCGAGATAGGCGTCATTTTTTTGTCTTCCTTTTCATTTAAAGCGATTCGTCCGACAGATACTAACACCTTGTCGTCACAACGCGACGCGCCGCGTCACGCCGAGCCGCGTCGCGAAAAATCGATGAATACACGCAAACGACACGCTGCGCCTATTTGCAACATTCCGACTATTCATAGAGGAAGCGGCCTAGAAAACAGCACGGCCGTGTTATCACGGGAACGCTCGTAATCGTTAAGACACTCTCGTGAATTAGTCGACGCGTCATTCTTCCAAACTGGATTTTCGGCTGACGAGAGAGAGAGGGAGAGAGAGAAGACAGAGACAATAAAGGTCTTAAGGCACGTAATTTAATTTGCATACAAGCGCCGGTCGGATCTCAGTTTGCGAAAATGGGGAAAAGGAGAGCCGGCCGGAAGTGGTCGCACGGTTGTTCTTTCCCGATGGGCCTCGTTAACGGGTCACCGCGATAACAGCAAGGACAATAACTTAGTCACTGGTCGGCGGCCCTGAGCGGTATTGTCTGTTAGGTAGCAGCATTTCTTTTGTATTTATCGCCGCGCATCCGGTCTCACGACAGGAAGGCCGCTGACGATGCGTGAAAAACCGGTACGCCTTGTGAACCTAGAAATTACGGCTCGCTGAATGAGAGAGCCGGCGCGCGTTTGCGGGAAACTTTCTTCCGAGTCTCCTCCGACTTTTGTACATGTACATAGTGTGTATATACATATATATCGTATACTCGTAGAATCCAAATTCATCCGGACTCGGTGGCGTTCCCTCGGTAATACGAAAATCTCACCGACGATCCGAAGACGACGAACTCGGACGCGGTGAGGTAAGTATCCATAGTTATTTCTATATGTACACACACATACAGACGCACGACGGCATTTAGAATTGCTAATTATCGCATTGTCATCAACGAAGCGAGATATGGGCGGGGAAATTATACGAGTCCCGCTCTCTGAAGCTCCCAATTGAGTCACCGGCAGTTACTACTCCCGGTATAAGTCATCGGGTAAAAATGCCAGTCGCGTCTGCAATGCAGATTATTGCGCCACGACATAGCGAGAAGATGAAAATGAATCGAAAGCTTGTGTATGTATTTATATGCATACATATATAAGTGTGTGTACACGAGAAACACACTTATACGTCGCGGTAAATACCCCTTTCGTTGCGTCGGCAATCGATTTCTGCCGCAGCGATCGAACAGAACACGCCGCGCAAGCCCAACCATTGTAAACTCTGTGCTCTATATTTACGATAAAACGTTATCAACGGTATCGTAGGATAATCACAGCGTCATCTGCCGTCCACTGACCGCGGACAATCTCTCCGATTCCACCTCACGATACCGCGCCATCGGGAAAACAACGTTAAGGGCTCAGACACAATGAAAGGAACAAGATATAAAAAATATCAGGAATTAAATATAGCAAATTAAGAGTAAGATATTAGAGAGAAGCTATAAACACAATGAAAGGAACAGAGAATAAAATATAAGAACGATTTAAAACGGAAGCCACCACTTTTTATTATTTTTTATTGGACTGACTGAGTCAAACCTCAGCCGAGTAGTGAAATAATCAACAGAAATCAGCGTGTCAGCATGTTGACATATGGATATTAAGAAATTTCATGTTCCTGATGTCACTTGAAAATCAGCATGTTGTTACACACATATACCCAGTAAGCACTAATTAAAAATAACATTACATCAATGCTTTTCTCATTTCTCAACAATGTAAATGCATTATAACATGTGTTGTATATAAAAGATGCATCGTTGAGTGAGAAATTATAACATTGTTGTAATCTTACCGTTAGTGTTTACTGTGTTTATATAATATTATCATAAATTATATTATATTTATATTATTATTATCATAAACTATATTATATATAATGTGTGTGTATGTGTCAATTAATTATTATATTAATTATTAAATATACTTACTATATTTAGCAAAATTCACAAAAGAAAAAAAAAATTATGTTAGTTGAAGCTTGCGATTGGCGAGCGACGGGAGAGAAGAATTCTCTTAGCACGTCGACCGTGATTTGGCATATTTCGTGGATTTGGCGACCGACGTGTTAACGTAGTCGTATGATCACGGCATGTTACCTTTCTGCGACTCGCAGCCAAATGTACGCGCGTATATCGCGGTGAAGAAGCGTTACGAGGCTCCGCTTGCGATCTTTCATTAGTCGCGCTAGCTCGAAGAGACGGCGACGACCGGAGGAGATAGAGCAGTGCGCGGGCGACAAAGAACGAGAACGATAACGATTATGTGGAACGCATGTTCGCGAGAGCGTAATTAGCTTTCGAGACAAGGCGCGACCTAATGAAGCGCTAAATCATCGCCGCGTGCAGTTTGTCCGCGTTCGACTTTTATGACGCGGGCCGCTTGCAAAACTAGCGCACGTACCGCAGGCGCACACTGTGGCAGCGATGCAAAGCCGGATAATAAAACAGCACCCGATCGAACCCGGGGAACTTTCGCTCTTTCCGAAATGTTCGAGCGATTATGTTAACACCCTGACAGCACGGTCAAATTGCGCTTCCCGCGAATTGCTGCACCGAAAGAAAAAAGGCGCTGCGCCCGAGCCAATATTTGCTGAAGAGTAATGGAGTATTTCACTTAGGTTGAGTAAATATTATTTAAACGTATAGCACGTTTTTCCTATACGGTGTGTTAGATCCGAGTGATATTTACTTAATTCACAGGTAAAATAATTGCTCCGATATTCCTCAGCAAATATTTACCTGAATGTAGCACCTTTTTCCTTCAGTCTGCACGTCCAGAAGGCACGGTTTGCGAAGTTTAACGTTAAACGTTTAACGTTACAGATTTTTTATTTAAAGTAGTTGTAACATAAAACGAGTTCTTGAAACATTCGTTGAAACTTACACCGTATATAGATTTAAATATGACCTAATTACCGGCGCAATTGTAAAATACAATTGACTGTTCGGGAGTCGAAATACTCGCGACTAAAAATGACACTTCTTATACGTTTTCCTTGAGATTAATGTTCTATTTTCGATTTTACATATATATTTTTAATTTCTTCTAAATCACATTTAAGATCTTAATAAAAAACCATTGATATGATATTAAGGACTAATATGAAGACATCATATAGAAATTTTAGAATTACTGATCATTTTGTTTCGAAAATATAGAACACAGGAAATTAAAAATTTATAGTAACACCCGCGATATATACAATATATGTACAATGTGCACATATTAAAATATTTATGTGCCACTTTCTATTATGTATGCACCTCTATTAGCTCAACTGACATATGAATTAAACATTAATAAGAAAAATAAAAAGTAAATAATATTTCCGTGCTTGTAACATTGTATGTATATTTCTCTTAATTTCACACAAAATTGACATTTATTACCAAGATAAGTTAAATAAAGTTATGGGAAAGTATTTTTCTTCAGTGAATAACAAACTAACATAGCGGCCCCTTAATGCGACTGAAAACCTGGCATTCTACGATACGATTACCTTAATGCAATTAATTTCTGTAAGTAAACTCTTTGTAATTTGTAAGTTTTGAAAGTAATCTTCTTGAAGGTAAATTACATGCAAGTAAATTCTCGCAGGCAAATTTTTTCCAAGTGAATTTTTTTGTGGGTAATTTTTCGCAAGTATTTTTTCATGGATAAATTAAAAAAATTTACAAATAATGTGTGTGTGTGTGTATGCGTGTGTTCCCAGATATCAACGAAATTTCGTCAGCAACGCGTGATATATCGGATAGTGCAACGCGGGCTATGTCAACACGTGCAATGTGTTAACCACGTTGCCTGTCATGGGAATCACCGGTGTGGTCGGCGCGTTACGGCTTCGCCGCCGCGTCTCATTAATTAACGCGTAAAACGTGAGCAATTTCTCGTTTGGGAATACACGTAAATAGAAAAGAGAACACTCGTTACGTAAAAACGCGCGCGAGACGAGCCCGCTGCTCGCTTCTAACGTAACGCAGAGTGACACTGTGGAGACTTCCGCGCGGGCATCCGAGAAACGATACTGCGGACATCGAGTTCAATTTTAACGGCAAATGCGGCAAAACGGATTATCGTCGATCCGTATCGTGCCGTATGAACGGCTAAGGTTTCGTGCCCGCGCAAAGGAAGGCAACGACGTAATCGTGTCACGGAACGTCGCGCGGGGGAACACGCGAACGCGCCCTTGGGTTTTTAATGTTTTATCCCCGCGCGAGACATCCTTGCTCTCCCACCTTGTCCGCGATAATGGCGGCTATCTGTTGAAATATTACGCGCCTGCACCTTGCTTGAAGCGGAGCCCGATTATTTTTTTTCGCGTCTAAG